ATATTTTTTTACTTTCTTATTTACATAAATATGAATGCAGTTACTACCTGTCACCATTTTAAATTTAAAGCTCATTTAGATCGAATGCTTTGATTAAGCTCAGTTAGCATAACGCAACGCTTTCGCTTCAAAGTAAAAAATTAATTAAGYAAAAAATGATTAAAAAAAGACGTATAAGTAAAAATCGTAATAAACGTCAAAAAGTCGCATATTTTGTAGCGCTCGTAATACATACGGAAATCGAATTACGTGGTTTTGGCATTTAAGCTTGTAATAAATCAGATAGTGGGTGAAGAATGAGCGTCGAAGCGAACAAAAAGTATTAGAAATCGGAGTTAAGCTGACAATCAAAACAAATCATAAATCAGAAAGTGGCAGGCGAGCGCTGGTTGGTTGCCATTCGTGTGCATACACACACAGACGAACATATGTATACACATGCTGGTACACTACAAGTTCATTTCACATATGAAGTACTTGGTTAAATTCTTTTGGTGAAAGGCGCGCCAACGTATTTGGTTACTGAATTTCTTTTTGTTGTTTTATCTATACTAAATAAAATTCCTGCATTTCACTTTTTTTAAATGTACGCCAGTTTATTTTATTATACCTTTTTTGCCGATTTTATATTTTCTTATCAAAGTGGCCCTTCGCGCCAAACCAAGTTAAAGGAAACGCTATTAACAATGTGGGGAATTGAATATTGTTTATGAGTTCGCAAAGACAAAGTATGGAAATGCAGGAATGTGGTAAGCTATAACCGCATATAATCATATGCATAATATGTATATGTGTATGTGAGATTTTCACATTTCTGCATTAATTGTCAGTAATATAAACGTAAAATATAACCAGATTCCTAACTTAGAATATAACCAATCTGAAGAAAATTGATAAAAAAGCATTATTTTCTGGCACAACTGAATGGTTTACTATTATTTCCAGTAGTCTGGATATCTTAAGGGAATTTTCAAGAGGCTATTTAAGGCTCTTAAATAGCTCGCTGACTGCGCACTCAAAACTAGTCAAGGAGTGCAGTGCAGGACCTCATCTGCCACCTTAGACTTGTATGTATGTCCGGTCTAAGCGGTATCCACAGAAACTCCAAAGCTGATGAGCTTGCTAGGAAGGGCACCCTTTCTCCAATTTCTTACGATTGGAACCGAGTCGGTTTTTCGATGTCCTCTCGCGTACTGGCGGTGGAGCTTTATTTCTCCTGTGATACAAGCAAGTGACTGTGAGATCGTTCTATCCCATTGTGAACCCTAAAACGTCTTCCGAACTACTGGCACTTAGCAATAGAGCTGAATAGAGGAAAGCGAGGTGAAATCATCTTGCCATTTTTTTCTGTATTGTCCGAATTTTGTCAGACCGGGACTGAAATACCTTTGTAGCTACAGCTTTAAGAAAAAAGCGAAGTTGTATTAATATTAACCACATTAATAAATTTGTGACAACACTTCTTGAATCTATGAGGATCTGGTGATCCAATTCTTGCTGTTTACCAGGAACACATATGACAAATATTATCTGTCAAAGTGAGATCCATCGATTTTGGATCAACTTTGCGATATAAGCTAACTTTCCTGATTGCGAATGAATTTTTTTTTTACAAAAGCTGTTTCGAACGATATTTTATTTGATTAGGAGTAAGGCAAGTTATGGATACTGTGAACCTATGTTTACGATACACATATTCGATATTTCGATTTTTTGAACTATTTTAGCAAGGTGGCAGTATWTTTTATTCTCAAAAAAATAAATCATAAAAAAATATATGCAAATTTCAAAATCGTAAAAAAATTTAAATGTATGAAAACTATTTAAAATTTTATAATATTTTTAAATTTTTATTTTTTTAAAATTTCATAAAAATATGTAAAAAAGGTTTCAAAATCGTTTCGAAAATATTTGAAAACATTTTCAAAACTTGAAAAAAATTTATTTAAAAAAATTTCTTAAAAAATATTTCAAAATCGTAAGCAAATTTAAATATATGAAACAAATTAAAATTTTTCGAACTATTTTAGCACTATGGTATTATTTTTTATTTTTTAATTCTAAACAAATTCATTAAAAAAATTTAAAAACCTTTCAAAATATTTGAAAAAAAAATTAAAATTTTGAAACTTTTTTCAAGCATTTCCCAATAGAAATTTAATTTGAAGTCACGAATTTTGCGAAAAKCAAGCAAAGTCAATATTCATTTAGACACCTTGTTATAAATTCACCACAATGCAACACTTTCAATATTCACTTCATTAAGCCAAAATATACTTAGAAAAAAAATGAAAAGCACAAAAATCACTGTCCCCTTGAGTAAAGGCGAAAAGGCACCGCAAATATGCAAACTCATAAATAACGCAGAAACTCACCATTCGTTGCGGGCGAAGGCGTGCATACGCAGATCATCACTTTGCAGGCGCAGGCAGTGAGGTCATGTGAAAACCGAATCGGCTACGCTTCTCAATATAGGCGGCACTTTTCGACGTACCCAAGCAGTTTGGCGAAGCGGAGGAGGTGACTTCACCAAAATACCGGTATTTTGCGCGTAGGAAGCAAGGAAGTGGACGCAGAGTAAACGCACGAAAGCGTTTAATACCACGCTGCTGTTGTTATTGGCAGGCAGTCGTAAGCTGCAGGCAGTTGAAAACTGCAGGCAGTTTATAGGCTGGAGTTGGAGTTTGTCAGTTTCGAGTTTGGAGTACTTGGAGCTGTCATGCCCAGCTGCGCTGCTGCTAGCACTGCTTTGTTGTTGTTGTTCCTGCTTTTCTTGTTTTCCTTGTTGTCGTACACGTGCTACACTACAATGCTAATTGCGAATTTTCGASGCTCTATCGCCTGGTGTGTCCAATTTTGTGACACAGGCTGTACACACAGAGTTCTTGTTGTTAAGTAGCGTCGCTGGACAGAGTGGCGGCTAAGCCCAAGCGGTTTGTAACTTGCTATTGTGTGTATGTGCCAACGAAAAACTGGACTTTTTTYTCGTGTGCTAAGCCATAAGTATTTCGGCAACAACAAATGCGTGGCGAAACCAAAAGACTGTTAAAGCGGTGCAATACAAAAACAAACGTTTGTTGGAAAAATGCAGTAAACTAGAATTTCTAACACTATTTGGCCTAAGGTAAATGAACTCTTAAGCTTTTAACTTACACGTGTCAAGGAAACTATTTGATTTTTTCTGATTGTTTTTTTTATTTTTTTTATTTTTTTTAATAATAATTCTTTTTTTAATAATATTTAATTATTATTTTTAATAAAATTTTTTTTTTATAATAATAATTTTTTAATTTATTTTTTTACTTTTTTCTTCTTCAATTTGAAAATTTGGCACTTTTTCTAAGCATTTGACTTGGGTTCCAAGCACTTTTAATACAATTCTTTTCTTAGTGAAAAGTAACTATACTTTGGAGCTACCGTTGCAACGACAATAACAATTTGTACGTAGTWAACTTTTACAAAAACAATATGTGCACATAAGTTTTCACTTTCACGAATTACGAGTCGTCAGTATTTTAGCGACCACAAAAGTAGTTGAAAAACAAAGAAAAATCACAAAACGAATAAGACAATTTGCTCACAAAAAATATTAAGGGACGTCCCAAGCGTTTGTAGCAAAGCATTTAGTAACCACAAATTAGCYAATGCTTAGTCACTATGTCATTTTACCAAATCGAAAAATAATCAAAATCAAATTTAAATAAATAAAGTAAAATCGCGTAATTGGAAAGAAAGTGCTTTCGTTGCCACAACACGCGCGCACCCAGCCACTGCGGTTTCGTATCGACGACCGAACCAAGGGATAGAACGAGCAGAAAGCGACCGTCGTTGGCGAAGATTTTGCTTAGACTGAAACGTACAGTGCAAATCGAATTGAACGCCACCAACAGCATACGGCACAGACGACCGGATTTGGCTGACGACTGGCTGGAGTCTGTCGTGTAAGTGCCAAAATCATGGCCCCACCACGCATACAGTCGCACGCTCGACTCGCGCGCGCRATAACAAACAACAAAACGCCAGCGTAGAGCTCACACAAATGAGAAGGCGTGCGTAGAGGCGGCCAAAGGCAAAAAAGAGGCAGCCAAGTAATGTAGCAATAAATACGCCAAACAACAGTTAATAGCGAAAGTCAGACACAAAGTGTAATGCAGAAAAATGCCAACGCTCACAGTGTTACACACGCCCGCATGAACTCCGGCCAGCGCCGCTTTTTCACACACGACAATACGACTACCTAGTCATTATAGCTCCCTGCTCTCACACACACAGTATCAGTTTGTAATTTGTCGGCATTTTCACTTCATACAGTGCTTCACGCTTTCTCGTTTACGTACCGGTTAAGCAAAACATGGAAATTGGGATAAATATGAGGTGAAAACGCACGAGCGAAGGCGCGTGCTCCAAGCATGACGTAATGTGTGTAGGGACAGTCTGTGCTTGGCATGAGTGCGGCGAGTGTATATAGAGAGTGATTGTGCACGTAACAGGTGGTTCGTGCGTGTGAGTAGACAGAGAGCGCGTTAACAGCGCTGTCTCTTATACACATCTAGATGTGTATAAGAGACAGGTGTATATAGAGAGTAATTGTGCACGTAACAGGTGGTTCGTGCGTGTGAGTAGACAGAGAGCGCGTTAACAGCGCGCTGTAGCTGCGCTCGCAGATTTCGTTGCTGACTTTTACTCTGTGTAAGGCGCAAAGCTTTTTTGTTTACGCTTGAAAGCTCTGAAACAGCTGTTGGCTAATTATTGCATACAGTGAGTTAAAGATAGCTTTACACTGCTTAAATTTTTATTATTGAATATTTTAGAATTTGTATAGATAAAACCTTGAAGTATAATAATTTTTAAATATCGATATTTTAAATATCGAAAGCAGTAATTCAGTTTTGGTTGGCAAAAATCACCCGAAGAACCCTAATAATGGTAATAGATACCACAGTATCATGMTGTGGGTCAAGACGGGCTGATAACAGTTCGCCACTGTTGTASTTGTGCGGTATCTAGCTGATTTATTTTATGGGTGTTCCCACTATGGTTGGGGTACAGAGCGGGCTGGAAAGCGTTTTTGTTCTGACAAGGAATATATTTATATATATACAATATATAATGTACATATATATACATATTGCTAGGCAGCTTTGAACTCGCTAAAGTCTCTTAGAGTTCCTTAAAAGATAGTGAGAAAATGCTTTGTTCTCTTGAGGGATCTAACATTCTATTTCACGATAAATCTGCAATGGGGTCCAAGACATACGGATTTTCCGGAGAACTGTGATGCAGATAAACTGCTGTAGCTGTTTCACAAATAAAAATTTTCGTAGTGATGAACTTCATCAGAAGCAAGGGATGGTTCAGAGAGGCGACAATATTGTATAGTTTCCCGGTGGTATCACAATGGATTTCCTAAAGACCTAGTTGAGTCGTCAGGCAGGCACTCTACCTAAATATCTTCCTAGCAGCAGTGGCAGTAAGTAAATTTAGTTCGATTTCGGTTTTAATAGCAAATGTTTTGTTGGTTCTTACTAATCTCTTAATTACGACCAGCTTTTACCTTAAATTATAGACTAAATTATGTTCATAAACAAGAAAATGTCAATAATAATAAATATTTTGAAGCTTTCAATTTTCGAATRCATATAAACCGTGGCAGTCTCATTGAACATTAGCCTAATAGAGTSACGTAACATAACTCTATTTCGCGTGTTCATAATACAAATTCAGTAAAATAATATATGTACGATAAACTCCAAGCAATTACACGAGTAATTTATATTCCAAACATTGATGTATCAAGCGTCCGCTAGCTCATGAATGCATAACAACGAGGAGTGAGGAGTTTAAAAGCAATCTAATGGAACTTTATGGCGCTGAGAAAGATCCGCAAAAAATCACTTTCGAAATTTATTACACATTCTTCTACACAGATATGTAGATTTGTATTTATACGCAACTATTTCAGTTATTTACAGTTTTATACTTTTTATACCGAACTGAATTCCAATTTTTCTTTTAATTGTGGTGCAGACGCGTTTTGCATGCATAATCTCAGCCAAGCGCCAGGCGCACCAACATTTTTTTTCTTTATGTAAATATAAAACAAGAAGATATAATTGCAAATTCTTYGCACTTACCGAACGTCCTTCATCGAAGGCATCGCGCATCGAATAACCGCCGCGGCGTCCTATTTTTCTGCGCACTTTCCTTTTGGACGGCRACGCACTGCTGCTTCGCGTCGGAAAGAGATCATCCTCACTACTGCTGCCACTCGCGCTGACGCTCAGATGGTTATTGTTATTTTTACTATTCGCACTCGCGCCTGCTTCGGGATCACCTTGCTGCAATGCGCTGTAATTAACCGACTGAAAGCGATTAATACGCGTTCCCAAGGTGCCGAGTAGACCACCAACGCCACTGGCACTGCCAACTGCTTTTGTTGTTGGTGTTCGTTTATTGCGCGCCACACCGCCACCTGGCCATCGCGTGCTGCTGCCCTGCGCTGCGTTGGCTTTATCTGCTCGAGTAGAGGCGTGTGTGTGCGGTATCTCCAATCGGGTACTCATCACTGTTTCACTGTTTCAAATTTGCAATTAGTGTTCGTGGTGCATGTGCGTTTTACTTGATTGAGGGAACTTCGTCGTTTTGTTATTATTATTRTTTTTGCATTTGTATTTTCAATGCTAATTTTAGGTTAGGTGTGAATATTTTGAGTTTGACTGAGATCTGAAATGCGGGAAATAGGGAAAGTATCTTATTTCACTAGATTTAAGTTTAAAGTAAGCTGAAAATTCAAATATATATACATATTTTTGATTGCGTTTCCATGACTTTCAATAAAAATCATGCAAAGTTTTCAACATCTGGATGAGCTGGATTAGCTTACTTTTTGTCAGTTGATTCAAAAACGCAAAACCAAGTTTCMAACCCATTTTTGCGATCTCGGAACCTTATATAATATGAACATCTATATTAAAAAAAGAGTTTTGATTATGTAGTTTCAGCAGCTTCAGAAACTATTTTCTTTTTTTCGAAAAGTAAAATAAGTAGGTGAACAAAAATCCACGAAGATCGAGCTTTGTTGTCGGTATAGAATTAAGAGAGAAGACTTCATATTGGAGATATATACTAAACATAAGCACAATAGTAATTACACCTACGGTTTGGCACTCTTGAGTCTCCCTTTTGAATCAACCAACCATCCATTAAAAGCWAGTTGAACCTTCAAGGATACAAGGTAGTACTTTCGGGTAGTAATGAACTTTTTCAGACTGCTAGACCTCAGATAAAATTTCAAATCTATATTTGTAATTAGTTTTGTTCAAAAAAGACCTCTGCCACACTTCTTTTGCCCGTTCAAAGTTTTTTCTTTCATGTTATGGCTTACAGAAGGTCTGGGCACTATCAATTAATTTTCTTGAGCATTTTTAATGAAAAATTTAAAAATCTGAATAATCGGTCTTATGGGAGATATGAGATATAGTTGTAAGATCTGGCCGATTCAACCAAAGGATAAATGTAATATGAGAAAGCACCTACGTATTAATTTTCATTCGGAAATCTCAAAAACTTACAACAAATTGTTGTAACCCCTAAAACACTTCGCCTTAAAAATCGCTGGCTTGAAACCGATTTTAGACTCATAATCTCTTAAGCAAAATTGTTGAGAATGTTGCGTGGAACATTTCCCACAAACGCAATTTTCCGTTTTTTGGCTTCCCATAAAACGGCCGACTCTAATATACGTCAATTAACACTAATATGAAATTTGTCTTGTCATCCACTTGTAGGCAGGTACCTTGCTGAGCCTTTCACTGGCGAATAAATGCAATTTTACATATACACATGCGGTAAAAAGAGCATAAGATATCCACTTATAAAGAGGGCATTCCATAAACSGAAACCTGTTGGCTTAATTTCACTCATTTCTTTTTCATTTTGTGTGAAGGGAAGAAATGCCGGWGAAWTGACATCAAGGTTATGCTGCTTATGACATTTGTGGTTTCCTCTGCCAGAATGAGTAATACTTTTGCAGGCTGGAAGCATCTTTTACTTAGGTRTAATTGTAATCGTAGTACTGTTTTTTACTTCACAAGAGTCGGCAGACTGCTATGCAGTTTCAAGCTCCCTGGAACTAATAGCTAATAGCAAGGTTCATAATACAGCAATGTTAGGTGTYCTAACTGGACACGGTCCTTTCGGCACTAACGCGGAGAAGCTAAAAAATTTTGACTCAGCTTGTCAAAGTTGCATGGAGGCAGATGAGCTGGAAACATCCTGACACTTTCTSCTCCACAGTTCARCTTCCGYCAGACTAAGGCTGAACCATCTCGKTTGTCATACTTTCTACGAAACCGGCGGATTGACTGGCAGACTCTAGGAATTTTGTCAATATTCAGCGATCTCTTTGACGTCTAAGTGGGAGTAATCAGTAACCCAATCCAATATTATCTGTAAGAAAGAACAAGGCTAGGCCGATTTGGGTAGTGCCAATTAGACCTGTTTTAAAAAATGTAAGGCYAAAAACCACGCGATCTTGAAAGAAGCTCCAAAATCCATATTTTTGCATGAAAATATCTCTCAGTGTATTAGAACAGTGTTTTGTTAGCTCAACTAACGTCAGCCAAGCGTAAAACCTATTAGTATAAACTGACCATTTGCGCCGCCTGCCAACCACACAAGCTGGACGCATAAACAACAATGTTACACAGCCAAACATATGAATAGGCACGCATATATAAAGACGCTAGTGTGTAGGTGCGCATACGTCTGCAACGCCGTCAAAGCAGCCGTAGGACCACAGCACAAAAAAACAAAAAGGTATCAGCATGTAAGCAGCAACAATGAAAGCCAGCAATCAGCGCCACGAACAAGCAAACAAACGGGCAAACAAGCCGCTAACCAAACTAAACTTGAAGATTTGTGGCTGACMAACTAACTAACTAACCACGCGACTGGCTACATGACTAACAAAGTAAATTACTAAAAGCTAAATAAATGGCTGAGAAGAATGGCAGTTAAGCATACGCAGCCAAGAAAGAGTGGCAGAGACTTTCTTTGAGCGCACGCACTCTGTGCGCATGTGTAAAGAGTTCTAAACCCTGATGGGTCGCAGCGGAGACCATACATACATAAGAGCCTGTATATGTGCATACAYATATGGATGCGAATYGACGCAGTAACGGACGCTGCTGCTCTACGTAATGCAAATGAGGATGARCACAAAGCRGCGGTTGATGGAGACGAAAGTGCCGGAAAGCTGCGGAAAGTCAAAGCMACGGCCAAGACAGTAGCTAATCATACGTGAAACAAGTGCAAAAATTTGCTTGTACTTGCAAGGGAGCGGTGGWGCACGTGTGTGTGGTAAGCTTGTTAGTTGCGTTATGCCGAACGCTTGCAGTTTTGCCTCTTTGGTCGCGGATCAATTACAAAACAAAGCGTGCGGAATTGGGAAAACGTCGCCAACAATGCCAGCGGCGACGGCAACGACAGTGCCAACAGTAACAGCAACAACAATAACAGTAACAACATGAAAAACAATAAAAAAAAATAAGAATAACAACGGAAATAAGAACAACAACAGTAAAAACAACACTGAAGGCAACAGCAACAGCAACAACACTCAGTGACAGCAGCGCACTTGAGCAGCGTCATTGGCTGCGTGCGCAGCCGYGGCCATGGCATATCGAATACCAAACCCCACAGTCAGTATCTTTGAAGACTTTCGCGCGAAATGTTGTGCCGGTGATAGCAGCTGAAGCTCAAAACCACATACAAATATTTAAAAATTTAAAACAGCGCATTAAAAGTGAGAAGAAAATATTTCAGTGAACGCGCCTTCAGTGAACGTGCGCAGGCGTAAAAGGGTGTGCGTGTTTCGTATGCGATTTTCAAGCGACGTGATTAAAATAAAAAGGTGATTTGTAGCGTCAAGCCATTAAAAAACCAAAAAGACTAACACCCGCTATAGTTTTTTCACGCGCATGCGCGTGGTGGCCCATAAATAACAGTGTTTTAATTTAACATTTTTCAAACGTAACTAATTTATTTGAAGAACTCACGCATTTATACCAGCAAAAGTGTGCCAACACAACAACAACAATGCAATCAATACTAAAAAATTACAAATTATTATTTAACTTTATCTCGTCGATTTATCTGGCCCTAATTGACGACACATTTAGCGAGCGTTCTTYTATTTTTGTTTTAATTTTTGTCAGCTGTGAAATTGGGTTAATAATAACCAAACGAACTACAAAAACACACATCATTTAGTTATGGTGTTTAAATACGCTTTCAGTCAGCGAACAACAATTTTAACATTTGCATATATTATTGCGTCTTTACAAAGCACCGTTTTGTCGTCAGTCTGCCGCGCTTCATTTAGTCGTGAGTGCAGTGTGTGATTTATGACATTCAAACACAGCATCTCAATATGAAAATTCTTGTGCTTTTATGGTCTGAAAGGCATTTCCAATAGACAAAATATCGTGGTAACAAGTGGAAGAGTAATAGCTTGAGGCACACATAACAATAAAGTGGTGTTTGTTGGACATAATAAATGCTTTGTGCTAAGAATTACATAAATAGAAAAATAGTTTAGGCAATCAACGGTGTTTTGGTTATCATTTGGGCAGTGAAGTAGACAAAAAGTTGAACTAATTGATGTTTTTAAATTTTTTGTTTTGAGTATTATATCTAAAATCTGTGTAGCTTATAGTTTTATTAGTTTTTGAGCCATTAMAATTTAAGATTTGAGTTTATATAATCATATATAGTTTAGTTTAGAGGTTGGAGATTTCAGTTCTGTGTCTACAGCTTGTATAGTTTGTGGCTTTATTATTCCCTAAAGCTTTAGTTATGCATTAAAATGTTAGATTTGGATTTATGAATTCGAAAACAATCTATAAACGAATTTTATGTGACTTTTTTCTTTAATTTACTATCTAATAGTCCGAAATATCGTGAAATTTCGTTGAAAAAAAAATTTTTTAGATAAAGTTATGTAAGATTTAATAAATTCCCTTCATACTACGTTGGTCTATTTTTGAAAATTTAGATACCCTTATTTCTTAAAGTAGATAAAAACTCTGACATCATAACTTAAGTCTTAGGTATATAATAATTATAATAAGCGCTTACATGTTGTTACGGGCTTATAAACTAGATTTTTTTATTATCTCATTTCATTATATAACATCTCTAGAATATTGCGGTAAATGTACAAGTTGATCTGTGTTCTTTTGATGATGCGGGCTTGAAAATTTGCGCGCGCGAGTTCAGCTATGTAGTCACTTAAGTTGTTACATGGGTTTACGGGTTTCAAAGAATCTAATATTTTTATTCTCTTATTAAATTCTAAAATAGCGCTAGAATATTGTCCTACATTTTCCAGTTGATCAGAGTAATAGTTTCGGAGATACAGCCTTGAGAACTTATGCGATCGAGGTTAGCTAAGTGCGTAATCTTTACACGCGGTTTCTTCGAAACTATGTTTTTCAAGCCGCTTGTCAAGATTTCTAGCGAACTACTCAAGCGATACAAGGTTTCGAATGAAGTTTTTCTCAATTAAAACTACATATTTAAAACACAAAAACATTTAAGTTTATTTCACCAAAATTTTAATTTTCTTTTTTTTTTTTTAAATGTTTGCAAAATGTACAATTTTTTTTCCTCGTGCAATACCTATCCAAGGTTTTAATTAAAACACGCGTTTTTTGGACTTCATATAATAGCATCAGAAATTTTATTGTCAGCGCGGATTATTGTCCCTTGAAAATTTCATAAATTGTCTTTAGAATAATAATAATAAAAGGTTTGGATAACATATTTAACTTTTTATATGTTATTCCTTAAGGTGGAATTCTGAAAAATTATTATTTGTATTATTTTAAACGTTAGCTATATGATCTACGAAGTTATGGGAAAATTTCATAAGCTGATCTTAAAAGTTATGGAGGGCATGTCACTTGAATGTGGCTGCCGCCGTGCTCTCCTTCCTGTAATCACAAACTTTAAATGACGTTCTCATTAAATCATTTTCTTGAAAATCACGTAAAGGAATATAGAAAAAGCTATTAACCAATTTTCTTTGTTTTAAAATACCTAAAACTTATTTTAAATAGACTACGGCATAAAGAAAAAAATGTTCAAACCATTTTGATCATATAGATGAAATTTTATATGGCTYAACTCAACTAAACCCTCTTTCCCGAACTCATCGAAAAAGTTCGCTTCTTCGAACACCAGCTTAATGCAGACGATGGCCATATCTAGCTAACCTGCTATAAAGCACGGATTTCATTACCACTAGAACAAATACTACAGCATACCTTTATCAGACAAGAGGTGTCCAAAGATTGGTTAGAATCAGTGGAAGTTACAAAGCAAGAAAAACAAAATAGTTCTTACAAGAATTTTGATAGTTCAATTTGCTTCGCAAATATATGATTTAGTGATCCGATCTCAAGAATATCTTCATAGGGACTTGTATAGTATATACAGACAAACAGACAAACAGCTAAATCGACACAGCTCGTCATTGTGATCAAACATATATATATATATATTATATTATATATATATTATGTATATATATATATACATATATTCCGACGTTTTCTCTTAGGTATTGCAAACTTCGTGGCAAACTTAGTTCAGGATATAATTATCAAAACAATATGTAATAGTTAATAATAGAGCATAAACGAGGTAGGAATTTTAACCAAAACATCAGGAAAAATATTTTSATATTAGAATAAACAAAATAAGAAGACCATACATTCTAATATATTATATTAAAAAAAAACTATTTACGTTTTCAGAGCAGAATAAAAATAGTTAGCTAGTGATGGGGTATGAACCAGGTAGGAATACTAACCGAAATGTCAAGAAATTTTTTTTTTTGTAAATAGAAGAGACAGACAGTATTAGAAGATTTCCGTATAAAAATATTTACTTTTTTCAGAAAAGAATAAAAACGCATAGTTAGTGATAGGGTCCAAACCAGGTAGGAATATTAATCGCAACATCAGGAAAATATTTTGAATATAGAGAAGAAAACATTAAAAAACGTTCATGTATTATGAAAATTATAAAATATTTACCTTTTCAGAGCAGAATAATAGTATTTATATAAAAAACTCTAATTGTGTTAAGCACTGATCCACTTTGAAACTGTAAAAATATATTTAAGTTCTTAACTGTTTAAAAGTCACAGTCGGCGAAACAAGTAAATAARGCATAAACTAATTCGCGCGCTGCCAAGTGCATATAAATCAACAGTTAATCGCATGTCTTGCCACAATTAGTGGCATGCAACCAAAGCCGCACGGCGGCTAGAACAATAAGAAACCGTTTGAAACAAAATTGCGGAATGCAAAAACACTGAAACTGAAGCACTTAACTTAACWACTAGAAAAAAAAAATAACATTGCAATAACAAAATAGCGAAAATAACATTGCCAACAAATTGCGAAAAAAAATTCAGTGCAACAACACAATCACCATAAAAGCCAGCAGCTAAACAACACGCGCACATATTAAGTGCTTTTAAAAGCAACTAAACACTACTAATTGCATAATCATTAATACATAAATACACAATTCAACGTGTCACTGATTGCGCGCCAGTTGCTTTGAGTGTGTGTATGTGTCGCACATCACTGCATGTATTGCATATAGCAAAATGCTCAAAATGTRCCACTTACGTCAAACGCAATTTATTCTAATAATAATTTCCTGCCTACTGTTGCACGTCACAAGAACAACAACCACAACCACAACGAAAGACACATCGACAGCGGCCTTAAAAAATGGCAAAAGAACAGCAYTCGTTGATGTTGCAACAGCAGGCGCATCGCCCACTGTCGCTGCAGCAAACATGATTCCWGGAAAATATCATGCCTACACACARCATGCGCAGCAGCCGAAGAAGCTGCATGTGTTGGCCAAAGCAGCGCACCAAGCGCCGACGCAGCAGCAGCAACACTATCAACAGCAGCAGCAACAGCAGCGRCAGCAACGTGTGGACKCTGTCAAACCTGTCGCTATTCCCAGCAGCAAGCTGAATCCCATCAGAAATTGGTTTGGCATATTTAATCGGAACAACGCACAGGCGACAACGGCCGCCGCGACGGCGCATGACACGGCGGCAACAACATGTAATTGCAGGTATGYACTATATATGTGTRTGTGCTGTCATTAATACACTTAGTAGCATATATTTAAATGGTATTATTTTATGYATGTATGTATGTGTGTGTGCATATATGGCACAAGTCAGCAGACAAGCCAAACAACCGACATGCCAACACTTATTTATCTCAACGCCAGCAAATTGGCAACTCACGCTCTTCTTTTGCTCTATCTTCGCGGCTTGCAGRAAGTCCACCGTCCAGTGGCTTTGCCGTTTTTCTTCCACTTTTTTTTAGCTGTTCTTGCATATTTCCGTATTATCGTCACCATCAAGCCATCAGCAGCATCATCATTCTCAACGCAATCAGGTGCACGACAGCTTTGTCTTTGTCATCTTCGAGTGCAGCACTCGGTTGCTCACGCAACATAACTGTTACGCGTTTTAAATGCCAATGCACTGCCTCGAATGTCCAGATGGGYATGCATTGACACACTTTTATATATTCTCGAAATGTTTCTCAAGCAAAGAGACTATTAGTTGACTGCCAGGAAGCGAATTTCTGACATAACTGCTTAATGGTGTATATATGTATATAAATTGCTTAAGTGYTGTAGAACTGTTAAGTATGCCAGGAATTGACAGTTGAAATTGTTGAGCGACAGTTTAAGTTACTGGGGAAGGATACCATATTCTTCATGTCGAATTTCATTCGAACTTCTTCTTCTTCTTTATTGGGGTAGTCAACGCTTACGCGGTTACAACCGAATTTATCATCGATTACGGTATTCGCCGGAACATAAATCTTCTGCAGAACTTTTCTCTTGAAAACTCGTAACGCGGAYTCATCAGCTGTTCTTATCGTCCATGCCTCTGCACTATATATCAGGACGGGGATGACAAGTGACTTGTATAATTTGGTCTTTGTTCGTCGAGAGAGGGTTTTTTTTCTTCTCAATCCCCTACTCAGTAGCACCTGTTGGCAACAGTTGTGCACTCTTGTTAATCGCCTGCTAGAATATCCACAACTAGGCAGAGACTAGCTTTACTGAGGGCAAAGAACTCACTGGATCACTTATCCAGATATCTACCGACTCACCTTGCCAGCTCATCAGCTTTATAGTTGCCTGCGATTCCGCTGTGGCATACTAGTATTATCACAAAGTGGTTAATCACCATCAGCCGTGAACACATACTGATTGGACCTTATAAGTAATGAGCTCAAGTGAATTGTCACATTTCTGATTGTCTTACTTTCCATTCTTACAGAAAACTCCTTCTCCGACTTATTTCTAAGTGCGTCCCATCCGCGAAAAGGCTCACTGCGCTTCTTCACCAGTTACTTCTTCTAGTCCAAAGAGCCCGGTATGTGAGCAGAGAGAAAACCATCACGAGTGGCCCCTGCGGCGCAGTGATCCAAGTTTGCAGTTGAAGTAGGAGAGAATTTCGGCATGTACTTGTTAGGACCTCTTCATATAGCCAGCTTCTCTAAGACTTCAAATGCATTTCGCTTCATATTTCTATTCAAGCCACATCCAATTTACTAGTTCGTTTAGTAGCCCCACATTTATTTCCTTGAAATATGTTATACATCCCTCCTTCCATACAATAAAGAACGATCTTCATCATCTTCAAAGGGAATTGTAATAAATTTTACGACAASTGCCTTTTACTTAGCTAAATGAGTAAATATGTGCTGTTCGCAATTTCCTACATTGTTTACGGTTTCTCCACCAGCCTACAGTGTCGGCCGTTGCATTGTTACCCGTGCATGTTTGACGTGTTTTGTTTGCTCGTTAAAAGAGTAATTTATGCAACACAACAAGTGCGAAGATAAAAACTAATTTGCCCACATCACGTACTCGCGCCGACCGAACTGAGTCCGCCCTGGGAATGAGCTGCAGTTCCACTTCCTGCTTGCAATGTTTGCCAAAGAAAAAGCGCAGAGAATTGCATTAGAATGACAATCGGCTAAGCAAATAGTCTGCGGTATCAGGATTACTCACACACACACACCTGAAAACGTGTGTATGTGAGTGTGTTGTTGGTTTATTGTTGTGCAGCTTTATAGTTTTTCTTGACACAACAACAGCGGGGTGCCTTACATTGTGCAATTTTGCGCAAGTGCCACACGGCGCTGCGTGTTGCATGTGGCAAGTTGAGTTGCCTTTGAGCTGTTTGTTTGTTTGTTTGTTCGTTCCTATTGACAACACGACACAAATGTTGCTCTGCAACGCATGCATGCCGTTTAGTTATTTATGCCAAAGCAATAAAATAAATTACAACAACAACAGCAGCTGTTCTCCCGAACCGGCGCACATTCTTTGTTGAACTGCCGTTGCTGACGCAGCGTCTTCTTCAGCTGCAGCTTGAACTCGTTTAGCCATAATCGACTATCGAGTGTTGGCTTCAATCGCTAGATCCATCAATTCAGCTGAAGTATTACGTAAGCAATCCACTTTGATGTTTTTGTTGTGTGTGCCTTTCCTTAYATGTGCGATTTTTATTGCGTTGTGGATTGGCGTTGCATTGTTTGTGAGTTTGAATGATGCTTGACTTTGTATTTTGTTTATTTATCGCGTTGGTTATTGGAAGGAAGCGGTATAACCGATTTTATGGTGGTCTCGAAGGCTGAGGGATCCAGCGACATTCGCACTATTTGACAAACCGGTTATTTAGTGCTACAACTATGTTCGAGATTCTTCTAATACTACCCGATGATTTTAAAATCCCAAGAGTTAGGTTMCCATTTCCGGTCCATGTATAGTCTAGCTTAAGTCCCCGATATCTTATAAAGCGGATGATTTGAAAACCCGAAGAGTTAGGCTACGATTTCTAGTTTATTTATAATCTAACTTAAGTCCCGGGTACCTTATAAAGTGGTTGCGCCTTATATCGAAGGGGARACTTTAAGTCTAAGGTTAGCAGAGGGATCCCACTCTGGAAGGTTTGAAACACCAAACTCCCTGGTATAGATCAAGCGAATGCAGGATTTGAAAAAACTTAGACTTACCTCTAACACTACGTCAGGAGCTCTAATATTCATTGATGATTAGAAATACCCAAGATTTTGATTGCCAATTTCGGTTCAAGTATTCTAGATTTTAAGTCCCCCAAAACTTATAAAGTGGATACCACGTGGACTGAAAACGTTTATTCGACCCAATTCCGTAACTATGTCAGAAGCTCTAGTATTCCTCGATTTTTGTTACAAATTCCGGTCCAAATAAACTCTAGTTAAAGTGCTCGATACCTTATGAAGTGATTATCTGTCACTCTGAGAGGTGAACCTAGATTAAAGGTTACGAGATGGATCCCAATCTAAAACGTTTGAAAACATATGTTTGTTATTTCTAAACTCCCTAGTGTAGGTCAAGCGACCCCAGTATTTGACAAAACTATGGCTTAATGACAAAACTATGTTAGAAGTTCTAATATTCCTCGATGATTTCAATCTCTATTATTCCTTAATGATTAGAAAACCAGAAGAGCTGGGTTTCCAATTCCGGTCACTAAGATTATATTTGGACATTTGAAACATCAGTCGTTTGCGGTGCCAAATTTCCTAAGTACAGATCAAGCTCCTTTAACAACGAAATGCCTTAATCTCCCTTGAGGCAGCTAATTTCACTTCAAGGAAATGCTCTCGGTGAAGCCATGATATACATATACCGTTTTTTAATTTCTGTCTTGAGAAGGCAGGCAAATCAAGATGAACGCCTTGGAATGTTGGGATGCGTTATATGAGGAGAGCTTATAAGTAACGCTTGTTTTGTGGATATTGAAAAGGAAATAAATTTTATAATCAGAGTAAATCATATTAGATTGTAGATCTCTACAGATTTTCATACATATTATACTTTATCTTTCACAAGTTCCGTATTAATCTARTATAATACCAATTTCGTATGCATAATTAGACTCTTCATATGAAACTTGATCAGCTGCCTAATCAGACGTCTGAAAACCTTTACTCTCTTAAATACCAATATTTCTCCAGTTCAATGACTTTTAAGAAATAAAATCAAACGATCAAAGAAAGCTCCTGATCACKCTCATTTCAATACAAAGGAGTATAAGCGAAGAAGCAGCAGAGCAATCAATAAGCCGAGGTAAAAATATACGACAAAAAAAATAAGCCAGCTGCAATTGTCTTGAAAGGACTGTATATAGGTAACATTTGGTCATCTTCAAGAAAGAGCAGGGACATATTAATTTTTTACAAAAATATAAAAACAAATGAAACAAGATACCTGTTTCCAGTGCTCAATTGTGAATCACAATTTTTTATACCCTCAACAGGGTTTGTAACATTCAGAAGAAACCCTTTAATATTGTCCCTCAATTTTTGAGGTATTGCTTTAAAACTTCGCACACGTCTTTTTCTGCCCAAAGAGCTGCTAATTTRTGARAACCACCGATATCGGATCACTATATCAKATAGCCGTCTTACAAACTGAAAGATCGGAATCAAGTGCTTGTATGGMAAACTTTGACTACATAATTTCACGAAATTCAGCGTGGATTACTTTCCAAGGAAACAATACCACCTCTGGAAAAATTGTTCAGATCGGATCGCTATAGAATATAGCTGCCATATAAACTGATCAATCAAAATGGAGTTCTTGTATGGAAAAMTTTTTTATTTGACAAGACATTTTCACGCAATTTGGCGTGACTTATTCTTAAGGACTAAAATAAAATATMCCAACAAATGGTTCAGATCGGACCACTATAGCATATAGCTGCCATACAAACTGACCACTCAAATCGAGTTCTTGTATSWAAACTTCAGTCTGTGTAGGGTATCACAGCTTCGGTGCAGMMAAAATTAACAGTTCTGCTTGTTTTTGTGCCAAGAAGCTCAATAATCGATGAGTAAAAATGCGTTTACGCTTATTAGTTTACCTCATTTCATGCTCTTTGACATTTCTATAGTTTTTCTTATAATTTATGAAATTTGTTGCTTTTGTTCTGAAAGTTGTGCCAACGTGTGGAACCGGTTTCAAAAACAATTTCAACTCGACCGGCAACTTGTTATTAATATATGCATTATGAGATAGTATTGTACAAGAATCGAAGAGCAAACAACCAAAGCAGCTTTGACAAAGTGAAGAAGAACAAGCAAAARGAGAAGCTGAAATTAATATTTTAGTTTCATTAGCTCAAAATAAAGTGAAAATATTGCCACAGCTACATAATACAAAAATATGGTACTCAAATTTTCTTTCAAAACATTTAGCAACAACAAAAAAGCAGAGCAGAAAAAATCATACAAAAAATTCCCTTCCTCATGCTCTGTAATTATTTCTATAAACAATTTAAATGTTTGAAATTCACTTTCTGTCTGTGCTGAGGCGTATTTACGCTTACACATTCACACTCACACACACACATTTGCATAAATATGTATTTGCTGCGAAATTATGTTAATAGGCTATGAAACGATGGCAGCACGCGTCGAATGCGGCTTTTGGCCTCGGGCAAGGTTTTAGCGTAGTTTTCACACTTAAGTGCGTGCTAAAGTGGCTTTGCGGCATAAATCCGACACTTAGGCCGTATACATAACATGGCTGTATCTGAGTAACATAATTTGCCACTTAATTGCAGAACAAGTGTTTCGCTGCAATTAATTCATTAAGTACATACAGACATATATGKTTATTGCTTTAGTTGACAACTTCTTGCCTTTAAAATATGACTTTATTGCCAATTTCGGCTTTAAGKGAAATTTAGTGAAATTTTTAATAATTAGCTGACGATTTCATTAAGTGAAACCATTAATTTTTATTAAGTTGAGTGATTAAGACTTATAAAAAAGCTCCTGGGATAACTAGACATCTAGCTACATAGATTAAAATATATAATATTTGTCCATAAAGAAAAGTCAGCTGATATACATATATCGTTATCGCTCAATATGCACTGATATGACTCTCTTTCTAGTTTTTGTTTAAATCGGTGGAGAATTATAGAAACGTAAATAATAACTGAATAATAATGAAATAATAATAACTGAATGAAATACGCTTAGTGAAGTGATAACGCCTGATAGTTTGTATTAATAATCGGCTTTCAAATAATTAAAGTCTCTTAGGGTTTGATCAAATGGCTTTGATATGTCTCTTGAAGTTTTGGCAAGGATAGTGAAATAATGTCTTGATCTCTTAGTGAATCTAACATCCTAATTCACTATGCACCTGCAATGGATTCCAGAGAATAGTGATATTCCTGATAGCCTAGCCACAGGATACAATTAGATCAGACAAATTTATTGAAGCGGCTAATATATCTTCCAGCCGTTTCGCCGGGTATGGCAACCGTGGTGCTTCAACCTTAGCCTGGCAAAAGCTGGACAATGGARTAGAAGGTGTCTTGATGAAACCATCTCATCTTCTTCATTACAATGAAATATTGTGACATTCAAAATCTATAATCACAACGGTACATTGTCCAGTGTTAGGACACCTATCATTGCGGCCGTGTAAACCCTGTCTCTTATACACATCTAGATGTGTATAAGAGACAGGTAACGGACTAACGCTTACTGAACTCTTTCGAACACTGTCAACGAACTCCGGGCCTCTAGCAGCTCTGCTATCGGAATGGATGCATATCTCTAACCCTAAAAGCATCCGCACTTCGTTCAAGTACATCCGCTGCTACACTAATAGTTGTCACTTTTTGATTCAAAGGTACTAAAATGGTCTGGCAGTCTGAAAGAAAAGTTGATTTAGAGCTCGCCTCCAACTTTCCATTTGAGCTTCGATCCAACCGTGAAAAGGCTCACTATGCCTCTTTCTGAGCCTCTCCGCCCCACCCACATATATTTCAGAGGCTAATATGCAGTAGTTCAAGTCCTTAGAGATGCAATCGATGTGAGAGAGGATTTCGGAATGTCCCTCTCTGGGATTCATAATTTCCTAACCCTTGTACGCCAGTCCGGCAAACATTTCATTCAAATTTTCTAGGCTGACGAATCACCAGTAATTACATCCGATATTAAACCATTTAGTATACATTTTCCYCACAATTTGTTTAAGCAAAGTATTTTCAAGTTCTCAAAAACTTGTTTCTGTTTTACCAAATCTCTTTTAATACTTTCTTTTCTCACTTTTAGATGCGGCGAGCGGAATGACGAATCCCGCATAGTTGGTGGACAAACGGCCGGCRTTAGCGAATACCCATGGATGGCGCGTCTCAGCTACTTCAATCGTTTCTACTGCGGCGGCACACTTATCAACGATCGTTATGTACTCACCGCAGCGCATTGTGTCAAAGGTTTCATGTGGTTCATGATCAAAGTGACATTTGGCGAACATGATCGTTGCAATGATAAAGAGCGACCCGAGACACGCTTCGTGCTGCGCGCCTTTAGCCAGAAATTCAGCTTTTCCAATTTTGATAATGACATCGCTTTGCTGCGTCTAAACGATCGTGTRCCAATTACGAGCTTCATACGACCAATCTGTTTGCCACGCGCCTTGGAACGCAATGATCTCTTCATTGGCACCAAAGGCATAGCGACCGGTTGGGGCACATTGAAGGAGGATGGTAAACCATCGTGTCTGTTGCAAGAGGTGGAGGTGCCCGTGTTGGATAATGAACATTGTGTTGCACAAACGAATTACACACAAAAGATGATCACGAAGAATATGATGTGTGCCGGTTATCCGGGTGTGGGTGAGCGTGACTCTTGTCAGGGTGATTCGGGTGGGCCGCTGGTGCGTATGCGTCCCGATGATAAACGTTTCGAGCAGATCGGTATTGTATCGTGGGGTAACGGTTGTGCACGACCCAACTATCCGGGTGTGTATACACGTGTCACCAAATATTTGGACTGGATAATGGAAAATTCTAGAGATGGCTGCTTTTGCGATGAGGACGATTGAGGCGTTATTTGTGGTGGTTTATGTGGGCGTGGTCGGGTACGAACTGAGTGCAGTGAAAATAATTTTTATACTTAACAGATTTATATTTTGATAATATTTTAGGGGGGTCTCAAAGGAGGATTTTTTAGGGTTGGTTTTGATTTTGCCAAAATCAAWTGCGTGTTGGCTTATAAAGTAGTCGATTATTTTGTACTAAATTAATATAATTTTTTGCATTCTTATATGTAATGTGTAACGCATATATAAATAAACAAATAGTGAAAGTATTTTACATTTTTTTCGTGCGCTTTATACCGTTATTTTTTCGATTGCATGAGAAAACTATTTTTTCTAATTTGAAAATATATATTTTATTAGGCTAAGCAGGAAACTACATACATATATGGGAACAATATAGGAAGAAAATCRTATTATACACATTAATTTTAAGCAGCCTTAGGGCACAAGGTGATCCTGWGAAGGCTTACGCATTTCCCGAAGCCGGAGGATCTTAATTCGATCAATTTGACATTATCTATCCCGAAAATTTATGAAGCTATGAAGCAGCCTTAGGATACGAAGTAATCCTGAGAAAACTAACAAATTCTCGAAGTCGGAAGATATTCATTCGATCAGTTTGACATTTTCTGCCTGAGGATTCGTGAATTTGTAAAGCAGCCTTAGGACACGTGGGGATCCTGAGGAGCATCTTAATTCAGCCATATTGMCGTTTTCTGCCCCCGAAAATTCGTAAACTTGTAGTTTTTCCGACTGGGTTATCATTATTATGTCACAGTTGATTGAAGTGAAAGATTGGCCAATAATTATCCGAGGCATGCGAAGTAAAGCAACAGCAATGCGAAAGCTTTTTTCTCAGTATTGCGTGTGTATCGAGGGGGTTTTAGTTTGAATTCCACATACTTATATATAGTATTTGTATTTTTAATTTTATTTTTAAGTTAAATAGAAGAGATTCAAATGTCAATATACAAAAGAAATGCATCTTCGTGCCATTCATGACGTAMAACTAAAATGAAAGTCAAAATCAGAAGCAAAGGTGTCGACATATATGAATATATACWCTCATATCCATGCATAGATATAAATATGTATATGTGATGAATCCCACATCATTAAATGGAAAGAGTTTTTACATACATACATACGTGCATATACATACATACATTGCACTTTGCTTGCTCTTTGTCTATTTAGATGGATGACTAAATTACCTGATTGTAGGGAATTYACAATAATTGAGAACGATGACAATCAGTTAGTTAGCTAGATAGTCAGTTGGAAAAAGTTCATTAAAAATACACGAACAATAAACGAAAAGCAAAAAAAATACCAACAACCACTAAATGAGCCATGTGAAAATACAGATGCTGTAACGGTAAATCGTTACCCCACAAGATATCGCTTTCCTATACCAGAGAGCGGTACAGAAGCACAAAATGGTATGCAGACAAGTGTGATTTTCGCTTTTTCTTTTTTTTTGATAAATAAAAAAAAATTATCAAATCAGATTTTTTATGTTTTTTCCAGATATTTTAAAGCTTTAAAAATGAATGGGAATACTAAAATTAATAATAAAATTAACAAAAAAA